ATGAGATATTCAAAGTGGATTTTATTATTTAAAATATTTTATTAATTACTTTTTATTTTATGTGTATGCCTATATTGCCTGCATGTGTGTAAGTGCACCCATGTCGTGCAATGCCTGTGGAGGCCAGAAGAAAGCATCATTTCCTGGAACTGGAGTAATGGACTGTTCGCAGCCACCATCTAGGTGCTGGGAATCAAATCAATTCCTCTGCAAGAGCAGTCAGTGCTCTTTACCACTGAGCCATCTCTCCATGCCATAGACTCCAAAATTTAAAAACAATACAAAACAGGAGATGTGGTGGTAATGAAGTCTGTTTGTCAGCTTAAATTGTGTCATAATATACTTCTCAAGTAAGACAAATATGCCCTTCAGCGGTCTTTCTCTTGCTTAATGAGTTTTGAATGATTTTTATGCTCTACTAATTCATGCCTATTTCTTAGGAAATTGACATCTAATTGGAGTCAATGTATTCAGTTATACCAGCCTCTCATTTGGAGTTCTTGTCATAGAGATATATACTGTTCATTGGAAAGTAATCTATTACCACACAGTTTAAAATAATCTATGTGTGCTGTCAATCTGTGTTCATAATCTCGTTTCTCTGGACCATCACCCTGCTATTGCTTTTTCCTCCACAGAAAGGCAGAACCTCTCCAGATGTCGTCCAATAATGACCCCGTCATAATCCCAATGACACAAAGAAGCACCAGTGTCCCTCCTGGAACGAGCACAAGTGACCTGAAGACATGTACTGAAGGGGCTGTGTTAAGTTTTCATAACCTCAGCTATCGAGAAAAATGGCAAACTGGCTTTCCACTTCGACGAAAAACATTTGAGAAAGAAATTCTGTCAAATGTCAAGTATGTACATGATCTAAAGAGGCCACTTTATTGCCCTGATCGGGACAGAATTTCTCTACTATCAGTAAACTGCTTTTTTGTGCCTGTGTGTGTGCAGATGCATGTGTGCATGTTTGTGTAGGCTAGAGGTCAACCGGGGATGTTGTTCCTCAGGTGCCCTCCACATTGTTTTATCTTTCTGTGTGTGCTTCTGTGAGTGTGGATGTGCACATCCCTTGGGAAACATGGAGGTCATAGGCCAACCTTGTGCATTTCTCTCCTGTTTTACCTTGTTTGAAACAGGGTCTCTTGTTGCTCACTGCTGTATATTCCAGACTATCTACCCCCAAACTTCTGGGGATTCTTCTGTCTTAGCCTCCTTTCACTCTATAGGAGCACTGGAATTACAGACATTCAGTATGGTGTCCAAATTTTTTGTGGGTTCTGGGGATTGAATTTAGTTCCTCACCCTTGAACAGCAAGTGTTTTACCCACTGTATCATCTCCCAAGCCCTTTTATGTTTGCTTTTTGAGAATGGGGTCTCTGACTAGGACCTGGAGCATGCCAATCAAAGGTCCTCCTGTGCTCACCTCCTGCGTGCTGGAATTACAAGCATGTATCACTCCACCCAGCTGTTCATGTGGGTGCTGGGGGCTGAACTCAGGTCCTTATGCTTATGCAGCAAGCAATTTACTGAGCAATCACTCCAGCGATAATCTGCTTTTCTTTTTGAAGACATTTGATACATACATGTCTTTGATTAAACTAGGAATGAAATGATTCGAACGCTTTTTAGGTGTTTGTTTAATCTGAGAAACTGCAACTACTTTCCCCATAACATTAACCAGATTCACACTTCTTGCCTTACCAACTGCCCATTTTCCTCATTTGGCTGGTCTCAGTCACTGTAAATATGGGTAAATGCAGTGACCAGTCACCATGCTATAATCTAAATGTTAAGCTGTTTTGAAATGTCCTTTACCCAACTCAATGTCCTTTACCCAACTCATCCATTGCTTTTGAAATTCAACCTTATTCAATA